CAGGCTGTCTCCTGGCTGCTTTTCTTCTCCCCTCGCTTGGGTGACATGACAACTGCCACCTGATCCGCAAACACAGCCCTCTCTGCCGCCAGGCCCAGCCTCCTCTCTGTGGAAGGAGCCAGAGGCTTCTGTTGCTGAGATGCGTGGAGCCCCCCGGCCCCTGTTCCGCTGTGGCAGCGAGCACCAGCAGCACGCGTGGGAGAAAGCCTATCGGGACCACAGGAAAAAGGTAGGGAAGCCCCTGGCCCAGCCCTGATGGCGGGCAGGCCACGGCGCAGCGCCACGGATGCCGGCACTTTCCCTGGAGACCTAAAGGCGATTTTCTTTTCAGAGGTAGAAGGGCTGGAATGACATTTCCTGACAAGGGTTGTCCTCTGTGTTGCCATAAACAAAAACCCCATTAAATAGATCGCCGTCGGCGTGTTCCACGTGTCAGGGCCATGCTATGGGGGTCAGATCGCAGCCTGTGTTCACACAGTGCTTCATTTCTCCAAAACGACTAGAAAGCATCTTAATACAAAAAGACCTGAGGTTCCTTTCATAAAACATATATTAACAAATTTAACAGAATGGAAATGATACAATGTCTGCTCTTAGACCACAATGAAATTAAACTAGAAGTTAATACAGAAAGATAATTGGAAAATCCCAAAACATGTGGATATCAAACAATATACTTCTAGGCCGGGCGCGGTGGCTCCCGCCTGTAACCCCAGCACTCTGGGAGGCCAAAGCAGGAGGATCGCTTGAGCTCAGGAGTTCGAGACCAGCCTGAGCAACAGCGAGACCCCCTAATGAATTGCAAATCTTTGTCTGGAGCCTGAACAAACTTGCTTCTAGAAAGCTCTGTGTAGGCACCTTATATCAAACATGCCCAACTCAGAATTGGCTGACCATGCCCCAAACGTGCTCACTGCCTGAACTCTGCCTTGGGGTCACCAGGCATCAAAACTGGAGGGGGGCGTTCTTCCCCTCCCTGCCTTCCCCGCACCCACAGACACACCACAGGGGGCCGGACTCCTGCCCGTGCTCCCTCCCGTGGGCCCCGGGTGCTGGTCTCCTTCGCGGATGGCCACGCAGCCTTGGCACGGGCCTCCCTGCTGCGGCCCTGTCTTCTTTCACTCACAGCGACGGGGAGTCCCTGGAAGGTGTGTGTGATCCCGTCACCACCCTGCCTCTCTTTCTCAGTGGTTCCCCTTCCCCTCGGGGGCCAGGGCCAGCTCCGGAGTGTCTCTGTCCCAGCCCCGGCCACGCCTCCATCGACACCTGCGTGTGGGTGTGATTCCCCAGACTGGCTGTCACTCTCGACCTGCTCTGGGTTTGCTCCTCAACTGGTCAGCTCCCCAAAGCTGTCACTTTCAGATCATCGGCTAACAGGGCCCAGGAGTCAGTGATCTAGAAGCAAGTATCTAGTGACCCGGCCGCACAATCTAAGCTCACGCCAGTTGTGTGCTGGGCTGTCCTGGCCACACCGCCTGCTCTGTGCCGCAGGTCCAGGACGCCCGGCCGCTGGTGGACACCTGCGCCCCGCCCACCTTCCTTCACCTCCACCTGAGACTCAAGAAGCTGAAGGTACACTTTCCGTTCCGTCTCTCAGTTAATGCAAAAGCTCACTAGAACACGCCGGCTTAAAAACCCAGGACAATGGAAAAAGCAGGCTCAGTAAGAAACAAACGAGTCGTCAAAGACAAAATTCAGTCTGGGCAACCGGGCAACCTTGTCCTGCCCACGTGGAGCTGGGGTGGTCGCAGTAGCAATCTCTCCAGTCCTCACGCTGGCCCCTCACATCTCAGATACGGGCGGGGTGGGGGTGGGAGGGAATCACAGTGGCAATTTATATAGTACCGTTCTGGAATAATTAATCGGCGTCATTCCTCTAAACTGAACCGTTTGTTTGACAACCTCGGAATGTTTACTTCTTGAAGTTTAAGTCACGTGGAGTGAGAATTTCATAGTAAAACCTCCAAACCAAGATGCTGTGTGCTCTCCATGTGCTCATTAAGCAATGAATAAAAAACTGAGTAACAGCTGGGCGCGGTGGCTCACGCCTGTAATCCTAGCACTCAGGGAGGCCGAGGTGGGCGGATTGTTTGAGCTCAGGAGTTCGAGACCAGCCTGAGCAAGAGCGAGACCCCATCTCTACTATAAATAGAAAGAAATTAGCTAAACAACTAAAAATAGAAAAAACTAGCCGGGCATGGTGGCACATGCCTGTAGTCCCAGCTACTCGGGAGGCTGAGGCAGGAGGATCGCTTGAGCCCAGGAGTTTGAGGTTGCTGTGAGCTAGGCTGACGCCACGGCACTCTAGCCCGGGCAACAGAGCGTGACTCTGTCTCAAAAAACCAAAACAAACAAACAAACAAAAAACTGACTAACCAGTCTTGACCATACTGGGAGATCGATCAATTTAAAAACCTCAAACAAGAGGCGTATTCTTTTCCTCTGGGCTAAAATATTCTGTACAAAATGTCTCTTTTATCTCTGTTAAAATGTAAAATGATCTCTTCATGCCACTGCCACATGTCAGTTTTGGAGAGTGACGCTGTGTCTCCTCACGGTTACTTTGTTACTTCGCTGCTGCACCCTAACGTGTCCCAGGTCATGGCTGAAACGCACACCCTCGACATTCCTGATACTCCAGGCGGCAACGCAAAGCTCGCGGGGCGCCCGGCGTGGGGGGGCCCCTCTCCTCTGTGCGCAGCTGCAGCTGGGCCCCCGCCGGCTCCTCCTCTGTCCGCAGCTGGAGCAGGAGCGGCTCTGCGTCATCGAGAGGGACAACCGCCTGCTGCTGGAGAAGGTGGCCCGTGTCATGAGGACCCGGGGACAGACTGACAGCAGAAACGACTCCACGCGCAGGAGGTACCAGGGCCCTGCACCCTGACGTGGCCGGCACAGGGCGGGGACAGGGCTGGGCGGGAGAGCTGCCCGTGGGCTGGAGTGGAGGCCTTTCTGCCTCACTCAAGAGAGCCCTGTGCCACAGAAGCGCCCTTTTCCTCAGCGGTTTATGGATCCGAGTTTTATCTGAGCCTTCCGGGCTGTTCCCTGACTCACACCAGAAAAGGGACACAGAGTGGCAGGTGGTGTGGCCGTGTGCGTGCCGTGGCCGGGCCCTGTTCCGGCCTGCGCAGTTGGTTAGCTCCTAACCCTGACGGTGACGCAGCGAGGCGGGGGCTACTGTGCGTCTCACCCGCAGATGGGGAGACTGAGGCGCAGTGAGCGACAGACCTTGGCCGAGGTGCGGCCGGGAAGTGGCGGAGCACAGGTCGTGCCCGGGCCACACTCGCGCCTTCTCCAAGGCGTCAGTCTGTGTTCAGGGAAATCGTGGCTGCTTCCAGAACGCTGCGTCCTCGTCGCTGCAGATGGTGCGACCGCAGCGAGCCGGCTGGCCAGCCAATGGCAGCCCACACTGCGAAGAAACCGTGACTGCGCGGCCAACAGCTGGACTTGCCCCCCTAAGTAAACTTTTCAGGTCTTTATTGATTGGCCTACAGCAAACACACATGTGAAGCGTGCAGCGTGCCACGCTCTGGAACCCTCCCAGGGTGGGGACAACGAACGTTCGTCACTCCCAAGCGTCCCTGGGCCTGAACGCAACGCCCTGCTCCTGCGCCGCCACCCTCTGCTGTGCGGGGATGAGTTGGCGCCTCCCAGGGTGGTGAGAATAGAGTCGCTGGGCGTCTGCGTCTGTTCTGACTTCCACTCAGCATAAAGCTGTTGAGTACGTAACAGATCGTTTATTTTCTTGCTGGGTACAAGCCCAGTTTATCTGTTCACCTGTTGACGAGCTTTCGGGTGGTGTCCAGCTTCCGGATATCAGAAATAAGACTGTTGAGGCTCAGAATCCACTACCCCAAACACAGTGCTTGGTACATACTGAACTGGAAATAAAAGCCGCCAGAGCTCTCTGACCTCCCCCACCGCTGTCTCTCCCAGAGCTTGTGTGCAGTGGTGCAATCACAGCTCACTGCAGCCTCGAACTCCTGGGCTCACCCGATCCTCCCACCTCAGCCTCCCGCGTGCTGGGACTGCAGGTGTGCGCCACCGTGCCGGCCAGAATAACTAAGACACCTTTGTTTTATTTTTATCAGCCTGTGGCCCAGGCTGATCTTGAACTCCTGGCTTCAAGGGATCCCTCCGCCTGGGCCTCTCAAAGTGCTGGGACCACGGGTATGAGCCGCCACACTCAGCTCCTTTTTTCCAAATTTAATGCAAGTTAAAAAAAAAAATCAGTTTGCAATGTCAAAAACTTTTAATATTCTTCATACTCCCTACAAATTGCTTCCCAGACGTTTGCAGCAGCTGCTGCTCCCAGCACTCCCCTGCGTCCCAGGGCTGCGCAGAGGGACAGCAACCGGTCAGACCGCCAGCAGCAGTGTACACTGATTTTGCCCGTCTCTGACCGAGACTGAGGCAGAACTTTCCTCCCATGATGCTGGTCGTTTGTGCCTTCTCGTGTGAACTGTGTCCTGGGACCCTTGTTCCATTGGGATCTCAGTGTTTTTCTTCGTATTGTTACGTGAACTAAAATAAAATCTGAAGTCCCCAGCTGGCTGAATGGACCCCCTCTTGGCCCAGGGGCCCCAGAAAGCCTTAAAGCTGAGTTGTTGCCCTGAGAAGGGAGGTCAGACATGCCTGGTCATTCCCCCACCCCCAGAGACGTCCTTTGCAACAGTGAGATGCCACTCGTTAGCAGGCACAAGACAAAGCCTGAGCCACACCTGCAGGCCAGGACTCAGTCAACACATCACCTGAGTTTCAGGTAGATGTCTGGCTTGTCTGTGACCAGCAGACTTCCTTATCTTAAGTTAAAACACCCCAAGCCTTTAGACAAAGCTCCATTTCTTTAACCAACTACAAATCAAAGACTCTCTAAACCACCTATCCCTGTGAGCCCCACCTCGAGGTGTCCTGCCTCCTTGGGCCAAACCAGTGTGCGCCTTCCACACGCGGCCTCGGTTCTCACGTGTGGTCCTGACTCCACCAACGCACAAAACCAGGCTGTGACCGGCCCCGAGGGCCCGTTTGCTCAGGCCCCCTCGAGGCCGTGTGCTCCAGGCCCGTCACACACACGCGGCTCAGAAATAACCCTCTTCAGATTATTTCACAGAGTTCCGGTTTTCTCTGCTGCCCTCCTTCCAGTGTGTTTACTGACATAATTCGGTTTAAATTTTCTGTCGTTTCATTTCGGGTCGTCTTATAGACAGAATAGCACAACTTTGCTTTTTAACCTAGTCCCAGAGGCTCCCCACGCCCAGCTTTACCCACTGACGTTTGCTGACGTGAGCGCTGTGTTCGCTCTCGTTTCTGGTGCTGCTTTTCCCCTTTCATACGACTCGGTTTTCCCTCAGCAGATGTTGAGAACATGCTTGGTGCCTCCGCGTCCAATCCCCCTCCTGTCCCCTTGGTCACCCTGCTCCTCCCCGTCCCAGAAAGGAGACAGCCCAGGAGCAGGGGGTGGTTCAGCTAAAACCAACGACTGGAGAACAGCAGCCTTAGAAACAGCTCCCTGTGACCACAGCCAGACGCCGTTGTGCAACGCGGTCACTGTGGACAGAGCCTTGGGAGCCTGTCCCTGTCCCTGTCCCTGGGGAGGGGCCGGCTCTGGTGGTGGCTCCTACCCGCCCCTGCCTGTGAGGTCATCGGCTGCTCTGAACCTGGACAGAAACGGGAAGCGCCTGGCGCAACTGCCAACTCACGTCTACGGCCCTCCCGTTGGAACTGTGGTCCGAGTGTCCCCAGTCAGACTACGGCTGAGTCACCG